GCAATAAACGGTTTCTAGAAATTTTGCTTTTATTGAATATTGGCTGAGGCGCTTTAATGTTCTACTTGCAGACGAGACGAGGGGTAGTAAAGACCTTGAATGAAAAGTAAACAACAACACGCATTCCGACTAGAAAAAAAGCGGGTAAGCAAATTATCAAATTGGAGTTGAATGTATTTATTAGTAAGCTAAATACAATGGACATCTCCTGCAAATTAACGTGCAGGCTTCGTTGCCAATTTTTGCGTGTTCAACCCAGAGCCGGTTGTACATTCAGACCTTGGATTTCACAATAATTTTATCGATTAATAGTGTCACAATAATTTGAGATGTTTTTTTGTGATGTATCATGCAAAGCTAATATGTTTTAAATCCTCGTGAAGGTGAAAGCAAGGTAGTTTGACTTAAGGGTTCATCCTTTAGCAACAGCTTTCAGACCTTTATCCATAGAAAGTTCTTCTGTTTTCAATGACAGTGACATTTGTTTAGCCAATTCAATATTCAGTGGAGTGTGGTATTTTAAATAATCAGAAATCCTTTACTGTTATCATCACCAGACGAGAAAGAAAACAGGGATTCCTTGAATCAAGTACGGATATATTTCCAGGATTTTTTCCATATGTTAAAAAAATGTTTTTTTGTTTTTGTCAGGAAGATAAACTGTCACTCGTTTTTAAGCAAGAAGCTTGCAGCATGTCCAATTTTTATTCTTATTTTTGATGTTTCGCAGCGATGAGGAACAGTAATATTTAATTAGTCTGGGACATCCTACTTGCGTCCGAGCTGTTTCTTCCTGAAAACAAAATATTTCTCATCTCTTTGAGACTACAATTGAGGTTTGATATTATGGTAAGTTCAGGCCTTGTCCTTTTTCAATCCTGTAAGTCTATTTATAAACAGACCACAACAGACATAAGTGAGACCGCGTAGAAAATACTAAGGTACACTGGAAACGGTCCACTGTCATGCGACATGAAGAGTATCATATGTGGAATAGCAACAAATGAATGACGCTGAAAAAAATAAAAGGAAAGAAATTCCACGACTCAAACTCGAGGTACTAGTAAACATGCTAAAAGTTCAAAGGTAATCATAGCTCGTTTTTCTATGATTAGCTTTTATCACAACCTCGTTCCTAGGACCCTCTCTTCCTCTCTCAGGGGAGGAAAAGCAAGACGACCCTGGATACGAAGTTGCTTCTATCAGTTGCTAAGTTTGTCACACAGCCCAAGTCAATCATCAACAAAAGTGATTTATATTATATTAATTCCGTTATCCCGGTGAAAATTACAAAACTAGGATATCACCTGATTAGAAATGTTTGCCTTGGACCTTTTAATATTTCATAATCCTAGAAAAACAGAAAATGCTTTTTTTAAAAAGTGCCGTGTCCGGCGACCGGTGATCTCATGAGTTGGCATTCCGTAACGTCACCGAACACTACCGAAGGCTTTCCGAAAGACCATCGCGTGATCTCCTGCATGCTACATTGACCATGCAATATAACTCGCTAACATGTTAATAGTTCCGCGAAAGCAATGATCAACTAACAACATCTTCGACTCTCTTCTGCGAGTTTTACTTGGGTTGTGATTGCGATACAAGGTGAGCTGGCTTCATCTCCTATGAACAATTTTCTCTTTTAAGACGTTGGATGACCGACATTGTCTTAGGAAGCCGGGTTTGATATTACTCAAACATGACTAGAAATTCCGATAGTTTTATTGTGAGTTCTCAGTTCTCTCCTTTCACGCAAGTCAGGCCGTATATCTCTTCTCTTAATTGCTAGCTTTATTACGTTTACTTTTCACATGTAGCCATCGCCTCAAGCCATTATCTTCAAAGGATTTAAGTAAACATTGGTTTGTAACTAGGCAAACGAAACAGGAGTCGTTCTATCTCTGAGATATTTTTGCGTGACGATATTTTCCTTCCATCGGGAAGACATCATTTATCTTTCACGGATCTTTGCGTTTTCCTGTTCTAATGACCTTTCCTTCACTGTGTCAAGCTAAAATTGCATGATTCAGTATCAGTAAAACGCACTTATAAATCGATAACAACCGCACAGCCAAATTCCAAATGTCTTTGCCCACAAAGGTGCAGTGACAATTTAGCATATTTGAGAGAACATTTCTTATAAAAGACAAAGGATTGTACGTACCCCGTAGATTTTTGACACGGAATCAAATTTGGCGATCTTTTTCTCGTTGATTTGTTGATGGAGTCAAGAACATGAAGAAAATTCTGATTTCTGATGTCAAAATATAAAAAAAAAAAAAAAAAAACCAAAGCTATTCTGACCGCAGACAGCAGGCGTAGGTAGACCTATGTCAGTTTCGAAGCGTCGAAAAACTACGCTGTCATGCTTCTTTCACGAGATTATGTCTGGGTCATTTAAAAATAGACACGTATTCCCCAGTAGGAGAGGTAATATCAGAAGTACATCTGAAGCTCTTGAATTCTTACGTCAATAAAGCTTAAGTGGTGAGATCGATTGTCCAAAAAAATTCCATCTAATGGGAAATCTCTTTAGCTCACTTAATTGTCTTGTACATCGGCGCTGGGGAAGTTTTGTCTTTTCCATGGTCACTTACATTTAAGAAGTAGAGCTGCCTTTAAACAAAGGCCGAGATGTAGAAATCTGTTATTCTTTGAGGTGAATTTCTATCCTATTTTAAACGTAGAGAAAGGATGTTCTGTGATATGGCCATCTTTAAGGCGAGAATTTCCAGGGACTCTTTCCGAGCGACACTTCCGTTGAAAATTGGAATTGAACAGGAGCCAGAGGGGGTCATGATGTTTTAAAGGCAGTTATACTATTTTTAATTTCATTGATTTTTAAACCTTTAAATCGTCACAGTATCAGACTGCAGCTGATTAGCAAACGTCGCGTTTGCGCCGACTGTGAGACACTTGAAAAAAACCGCCGGATCGAGAGTTGAGACTCATTCTCCTTCAATTTTAATCTTCTTTATTGACAAGTTTTTAGGTGCAGTCTCCTTTTCTGCTTTTCTCTTTTTAACTTTTGGGCGGAGAATGTCAGTCGCGCCGTCAAAAAGATACAAGTGACATATATATATACATACACATATTTTTTAGATATCTTAGTTATGTGCGGACCAGCTATTTACGGTAATCCTCAACAACTGCCTAAATCTTGCCCTTTTCAAAATAACTTGGGTACAAGATAGTTATGCGCATGTTTTAGAAACATTTCTTCAATGACCTCGCCAGGAAGACCCTGAGTTAACAGAAGACAAACAAGACATCCAAGACGATTGCGATATGTCTGATGCAATTCGTTTAAGCGCACCCGATGCGCACAAAGACTATGCAGTAAGGAGGTGAGTGGAACAAATTTAGTTTTGAAGACGCTGTTAGATGAACTTAATAAGTTATAGCATAGTAGATCCAGTCCCTCTTTTATCATTTACACACTCCCTTCCCTTGTTATATTTTGGTTATTCTTTGCTGTTCTCTCTGACTCCTCAGTCATGAAAATGAGAGATATTTTGACAAAAAAGTATTGTGATATTAGCAAAAAAACCTGGAAAACTTCGACATATTTTAACACCATGTCTGCGACTACTTCATCCTCTTCCTTCGTGCAATATTCATTGGAATCATGGAAAATATTCTAAACAAATGTGTTTCGTTTCAACATGTATGTAGGGGGGGGGAGAGGAGGGAAGAAGAGGAGCATCTGAAATTCTCATTCAGAGATAATTCACTTTTACTCAAAGCAGACGAAAAAACGGGGAAATTTCGACATATTTTAACGCCATGTACTTGACTACCTTACACCACTTCCTTCAATGCAATATTCATTAGAACCAGGGGAAATATGTGGAACAATTGTGTTTCGTTTTAACATGTATGTAGGGGGAGGGGAGGAGAGAATAGAAGCATTTGAAATGCTTATGAAGAAGGAGAAATCAATTTTATTTAAAACAGTTTTACTTAAAACAGATGTTTCGTCTAAGGGCTGATTGGACGTGTTTATGAGGGCATTTATGTCTAAAGAACTTAGTGTAAATAAGAAAGTCGAAACCCGTTGTTTTTCAGCACGGATAATTCGTTAGATCTAGAATTAACATTAAACGGGTTTCACAATTGCATTAAAGGCTGATAGCCTCGAAAGAAACTGTTTGGGGCTGCGTCGGTGGGAGTAACGAAATAATTTGGATATATCAACAAAGTTGAAATGGTAAATTGGCCACCGTAACGATTACAAAAGCTGACGTTTCGAGCAATTGCATTCTCTGTTTCTCAAGATTGTTTTGCTTACCCGCATAACGTTATCACGGCGAGCAGCTGAATTGGAAAATATTGTGACGGATATCTGATCAACAAGTGACGAACTGACTGCTATATTAGCGGCTAGGAATTATTAAAAAGGTTTCTCCAGCTTTGCCTCCAAAGGAACATATTTTAAAAGTCAATTATTTTAGACGTCAAGCGTCATGTCCTGCATGTCAGTAACAGCCCCCTCTCGGCCAAAGTTTGCGCATGTACAATTGTTCATCTGAGGCCTAGATCTGTTTTTGGAAAATTATTCCGTTAAGTGTGAAGAGGAGTTGACTTAAGATGGATTTTAGTTCATTAATGTCAGCATTGCGATATTGAAAAGATTATTCAAGTTGTTAATGACGACGAACTCAAAACTGATCGGTTCTTTGGTGATACGCAGGCGCACTAGAAGCACCTCAAACTGTCATTTTTATATGATGGGTTCGAAACTCAGGTTATCATCCATATTTTTATATGCACCAATATTTCGCTTTGTCTTCAATGAAAATGATCGCTCGGATCTGGGTTTTTGACACTGACATTTGCAAAACATTTAATATTGAACATTTTCTTTTCAAGTCCTCTTTTCACGGTTTGACAGCTCAAATCCGGGATTTTGACATGTAAATTTCGGGCAGATACAGGTCAAAATACGTTGGAATATGTTAAATAAATCCCCATTAGAGCAGATGCAAAATTTTTTTAATCATTCGATCGTTTTCTCGATGTAGTTGCCGTTGGGACAAACACCGATCACCACTTTGAAATGAAGATACGATCTTGACGCTTCGAAAGCAAAGCATTTTTGGTATTTTTTTCTATAGGTGAAGGCTTTCAAGCAGCCGATAATTTCCATTTTTATCCAGCTGGTTTCAGTCGTGTCGACATACACTATCGCTTGCCATATAATTGACACGTGCGTCATACCTATAAAATCATCGAGTAAGCGGCGAATTACAACCCTTACAAGCCGTCAACATTTGTCTTTTCTGTCCCCTCCATCGTTGGATGTGAACGTGATTAGTGTCCTACGATCTCTCGATCGGATCTTGCGATTTTTCCTTACGTTTGGCTCGACTTTCAACTGAAATCAGTTGCCATGCTGGGAAGATTGAAGTAAGTTTCTTCATTTTATCCTTTAGCCTTAATTCGCGTTTAATTTCCTCGGCCTCTCTTTGCGTTGAATAACAGAAAAATACAAGAGGCTTGTTGTCACACTGGTCTCGAGAGATCAACGACAGTGACCACAATATCGGGATCTGGAATAGAGACCGTTCCTAGGTGTTATTATGTGACACCCTGGAAGCGGTGGAATCGAGCACGACTTAAAGAAAATATTACAAACAATCGAATGACAACAATTTACTAAAATAATCGGCTATAAATGTAAATCCTCATAATGAAACCAGAAGATATGTAAAGTCAGGTCTTGTTTTGAATATATTAGCAACTTTCAACGTAGGCCTTGAAAAGTAAATCAAGGAATACCTGAAAAAATGGAAAGCAACCTACATGATATATTTTGTTCAAGCTTACGGAAAGCGCCCAATTTGTCACGTTATTTTTGCCGCTTCAAAATCGTCTTTTTGCCTTGTTTTGGCTCAACTAAATTACGAGGAAGTGTTTGAATCCTACCATATTTGTTGAACAAATTAGTCATATGTTCCGCTTTTGGAGAAACATGGTCTGTCAGGGAATCGATGGCGTGGCGCTTTTTCGCAAATCACCCGTCCATTTTCAACTAATTTTTCAGCGAAAATTTGCATGTTGTTACATTACTTTCCAGTCCGATGAGAGAGCTCATAAAAGCTTAAAAAAGGGAAAAAACCATTAGCCACGAGCTATAATCTTGTACTATATTTATGACCTGTTTAAGACGCGCCGTAGGCAGTCAGAAACTGAAAATCTTGGGCAAAAACGAAAAAAAAAAAAATTTTAACAGTAAGATATTCGACAACCACTCAGAATGTTTTTATTTCGATTTTATTCAGCGGCACTGACACTTTTACATAAAGATTCCAAAGACTGTGTTGTAAAACTAGATTATTATTTCTCTCAGCTGCAGATTTTATTTAATCAATGGAAATTGCAAACGCTCCTTTGTCGTCGAAAGCACAAGAAATGAAAAATAATTAAAACACAGCTACAATGAATAATTCCTCCCCCTCTCTCCCCTCCCTGCTGAGTCTGTCGATGTGATCTCGAGTTACCTTGGAGTTGCGAATCAGAACAGTTTCGCTTGAGTCGACACGGAAACGCAGTCGACTTTCTGGTGCTATAGCTTTTCCGACCTCGAGGATGTCCTCGGATAACAAAAGACCGCCTCTTGTCAAGACAGAGAAGTATGCATATCGATGTAACAGTTCGCACTTCGTTCGCGATGTAGTATAGCCTTTGCTGGAATTGTATACCCGTTGTAAATTTCATCCACCGCTGTCATCGGTGTAATCCAGCATGCTCAGTGTCGCTTTTAAACAATGGTTGAAATTTTTAATGATCATTTTCCACTATGTTCTATTAACACACTTTTAATCCTTTTATACTTTAAACCCTGTCTTGCGACCGAGTTCGCCAGTCGCTTAATCGCTGTGATGTTCTCCGATCGAATGTTCTTTTAAATTTATTTTCTGATTTGCGCTTTCAAATGTCGACTGTGGTCGAATATTCGCTTGATGGTTATATTTGACCTCGACCCTTTCCAAAGTCTTAAATTATGTAGCTCATCCTGCTATATCTCTTGAATCAATACCATGAATTTTATCGCTCAAAGGTTCGGTGTAGCATTTATTTATCTCGTACAGACGAGTCGATTCGATCGTATTTAGCTTTTCACCTTAAATGTTAGCGCAAATAACACGAGTCTACGCTCGCCTGGAATCCATCACCGACGGAATTGTCGGCAAGTTGCGGTTTCATTTAATTCGCTTTTCTAATTTCAAGATGGCGAAACGATTGAATTGCGTGCTGCATTGAAAATTCAAATGGTTTACTTTGAAATGCAGAAAAAATTACGCGGTTTTTATCTGTATTGTTCTGTTCATGACAAGTAAAATATGTGTGAATGTACAATGTATCATGTTGAGGTGATGTAGTTTCAATTCAGGTTACATGGTTTTGAAGATTCAGCTGATATTTATGGAATCAGAGCACTGCCCTAGGCGCGTTGCCAAACCGGAAAAGCAAAATAACCTTCGCATTTATTACGTACAACGACAGGAGAAACTGAAATTAGAATCGCGAAGATTTAACGAAGGAACAGTATGTCCAATTTCAAAGCCGTCTGTTTTCATGTAGTTATTGTTTGTTCACCAACAGGCGCAGTTTTGACGATGCTCAGAGTCGCTTAAAATGCAGAAAGCTTCTTGGCATTGGAGGCAAGGAACCGAGTAAGGTCTGTATTCAACAGAACATCAATTTGCTGTTAAATCCCATTCTTTAGGGCACATTTCATTTTAACGCAACATACGCGCGAAGGCCGAACATCGCATTTTGCACAAGTCCAACACTCATTACGATATTCATTTGTCAAGCTGTAAATTTTTGACAGAGGTTTTCTTTTGTAATTACTTTGAGAACATTGTTATCAACTTGGAGAAAATTTTCTAAGCTTGTTCAATAAACAACGCCACGAGCAGCGCTTTTGCGTTCACTGAGGATCTTTGGAAAAATTGACGTTTTTGTTATTTATTTTTTAATTTTTTTTTTTTTATGCTGTGAATGCCAAGGATTGACAGTGGTCCTGACCGTGATAATTACTTCCCAAATGTTATTTTCTTCAATATCTTAGAATTTATCCAAGTTTTAATAAATGCGCGTATTCCTTTTTTTTTATAGTTCAAAATGTTCCTTCTCGCGCTGTGTTCAACTTTTTAAAACGCAGCTGTATAAAGGAAGATGTACAAAAACGCTTAGTGTTTCAGATTGTACTTTATTGAATTGTTTCTGATGCTACAGCGAGATAATAGGAACAGTGCCGTTTCTTTTCGGCGCCTTCATAAAGTCGCAGGGAGGTACGGTTTGTTATCATTCTGAAATGAATAGCGCGTTAGGCACACGCCTCCGTAACAAGGAAACCCTTTGCCAGAAACACCGTGTGAAGTTTTTATTACCAAATTGATTTCTTGTTCCACTTTGGAGAACGTTTTTCAAGTACATCGATTACTCGTTGCATATCTTATAATGTGCATTGCTAAATTAACGAGAAATTAATGTATAACTCAAACAGCAAGTAAGGCAGAAGTAACTTTTTCCAAGGTGAACGGAAGTCCATATTTTAAAGAATATTTTTTGAAAATCAAAATCGTGCGTTCATGAAACGTACTAGGAAGGATGTTGAGTTGTATAAGAAATTTATAATGTAGTGTTCGTAAAAAGCAATGTCCCGGATGATATTTAGGTACACATGTTTGAATAAACGGAGAATTTCTCTCGACATCTCGAACAATTTTTCTCATTTTTTCTTTCTTTAGGCGAATAGTTAATTCTCTCATTTTATGATTTTCCACTCCTGAAATTTGACATCTTGAAGATTTTACCGTTCCACGCATTTTCACACAGATGTTTTCTTGGCAGTTTTGCTCTGAAGAGGTGAAAATGTTCTGTGAAAATGGGTTGTGGAAATTCTCTATTGTTGCATAATTTTTTAGGACAACATTTGATAAGAACGCCATTTCACTGCCATTCCTTTTATTGCTTGACGATAATAGAATTTGTTTTGGTTTTAAACCGGATTTCACACGTTACTCGATTCCCGACCTAAAAAAAATTTAAGTAAAATTTACATTAGTGACATTCGATTTTAAGGCGACGGCTGGCTCCTTTTAGGCGCTCAGGTGTGAAATTTCAGGATTTAAGAGAGTTTTGAGGCCTTTTGCTGAATTATGTCGCGTTAAGTTTTATATGTTTTTCTCAAACAAACGGCACTTTTTTACGACAGTTTTTGTTTACATTTCATGTACTCGGCGTGAAAGATCTTGTCTCCTTTCTCTGTGCTCGCTCGGCAGCTGCTGAAACAACACATTCGAAACGAACACATTCGAAACGAACACATTCGAAACGAACACATTCGAAACAACACATTCGCAACGCATATCTAAATGGACAAGGCGTTTTTCTTTAGGAACGTTTCGAAACTTTAGCATTGAAAAAAGTGTTTTTTTTTGTTTTTTTTTTCAGCATCCCCTTAGTTAGGGATACGAAAAAGCATCAGGACCCGTGCGATTTGTTCAACTCATCACAAATGTAATAGCAAATAACGAGAAAAGTTCTGTCCAGTTTTCCTTTAATTTCTTCTCTGTCAGTTTTTTGTCCTTTGGGCCTCAGAACGTTTTCCCTTTTCCCTGGTTTACACCGCTATACAAGGTCTGCGATAACTAAACAACGGCTTTTTCATTTAAAAAACCTACCGCACAGAGTTTGTCCCTGTAAAGACTCTGTTAAGAGCACTTTGCTCTGCTTATTTGATATTTTTTGAGGAAATGTAGTCTCAGACAGTGTGTATTTTTATTTCGCTTTTATTAGATTGTTTTTCTTTGAGAAGTTTGTCCAATCGTCCATAGTTCCTGAATTTTGGTCGGTGATGAGTTATCGCTTTTCAGCCTTAGAGACACTTCTTATCATAACTCTTTAACTCGGACTTGGAAAGCCTTGTTTTTTCTTTTTTTTATTACAGGCGTATGTGAAAGTCACTCAGTAAATAACGAGTCACGTCGAGTTAAAGCTCGTTTTTGTGTCACTGACCCTTCTTGGAATCACGTGACACTGCACACGACAGAGTAGAAGACGCGCTTGATCCTGGCGTGTCACTCATTCAAACCACATGTGCTCAGATCTCTTGAGGAACCTAAAGGCCCGATCGAGACGTTGTCGTACTTTTCTCTTACTAATTTCTTAGGAAGTAGATAAATTTACCCCTGATTCAAGTTTACTTGGCCAACAGACGTGTAACATGCCGATGTTAAAAAGTGATTGAAGGAATACTTCTCAATAAGCCCTTTATATGATAAGCTGAGTAATCAACTCGGAGTAATCAGATGGATAGTGGCAAATGGATTACTTTGGTTTTGCTTTACTTTACTTTACTTCGCTCCGTGATTGGTCCAGGAAATTCGCGCCACTCTCTCTCAACCTATCAGATGCAAAATCAAAACAGACCACGACTTGGTCGCCCGCGTTTTCCCGCGCTTTTGACAGTTTGCTTTGGTTTTTCTTTACTTTGCTCCGTGATTGGTCCAGAAAATTCGCGCCACTCTCTCAACCAATCAGATGCAAATTAAAACTGATCATGATTTGGTAGCCCGCGTTTTCCCGCGCTTTTGACAGTTAGCTTTGGTTTTCCTTTACTTTGCTCTGTGGTTGGTCCAGAAAATTCGCGCCACTCCCTCAACCAATCAGATACAAATTAAAACTGATCATGACTTGGTAGCCAGCGTTTTCCCGCGCTTTAGGCGGTTTGGTTGTTTTTACTTTGAGTTTTGGCTGGCTCCCAGAGTTCCACTGGTGTTAGTTTTAATCATGATGGAAAAGTGCTCTGTCTCTTCCTGAAACTCTAACAGCGAGTACTAAATTATCTTGTGTTTGTTGTTTAGGTTCTTCAAGTCCTTGGCAGTCATGAATCATACTTCATAAGCATACCCAGAGGATATGAGTGAGTTGATTTTGTTTACTGTTGTTTTTCTTACTCCGTGTGTCTGCGATGCCTGAGTTGCGCGCAACGACGTAACAAAGCCTGTTCCCTTCTTTCAATGTGGTTTGCTTTATTTTTTCCTCTTTTATACCAGAACGTGGCAAGTGGTGGTGCCAGTCTTCCTCACTGTAGTATCTATTATGGTACGTAATTGGAAATAGTTCGTTAGACTGCCTATAGCATGTGCATGTTATAAAACAAACGCTTATAACCTATTACACGTAGAACGAAAATCTAACAACTGGAGGCATTCCCGGCAAGCGCGCAATTTTAGTACATACTTTGAGGTGTTACCGATAGCGAAGCAGGCAATATTTTAAGTAGCACAAAAAAATTTTAGGGCGCCTTTATATTTAAGTCGACTGTATGTACATGTCCCATAAAAACGCCTAACGTACGTAGAACAATTTTTGGGCCGCACGCTATTTGAATGTATACTTTGAGGCGTCGGTAAAAGCTTTTTAGACACTTTATAAAATAGCACAAAAAATTGTAGGGCGGTTGTATATTTTAATCGATAGTATGTACAAGTTACAAACAAACGCCTAAACTATCAATCGAAGAACGAGTTTTAGGCAGCGCACAATTTTAGTGTGTACTTTGGGGCGTCGCTGAGAGGTAGTCGGGCGATATTCTTAGTGGTTTGGGCGATCGTCGAGCGATATTCTTAGTGGTACAAAAAAAAAATAGGGGCGCTTTCCTATTGAAGTCGACGAAATTTGTTTAAGGTCGAAGGTGTTGCTGAGAATGATTTTTTTGGTATTTTTTCTCAGTTGATGATTTTTCCAAGCTATTGTCTACGTGCTTTGGGCGATAGTAAAGAATCTACCAGTTTCGCTGGTTCTCTATGTTGTCGACTGCTGGCGAGTGCTTTAATAGGTAAGTGAACTATCACCCTGAAAATAATTATATTGACAATGACGATAATAATAATAATAATAATAATGATAATAATGATGATAATTAGAATAATGATGATAAGTATCGGGAGCATATATGCAAAGTCTCTATGCTCTAACAATGCTAATAATGATAATGATGACGATGTCGACGACGATGATAAAGACGGAAAATAAACGCAATGCTAGGAGACAAGCTAAAGTAGTTGATGGTGACATACATATTTCTACAAAGATGTGCTTAGCAAACGCCTGAGATTGTTGGCCTGTTCGTTGACATCATCCTCCTTTTGTTATTTTAGGGATCGCTGGTATTTCATGGGAAACAAAACCCATAACTATATCATCAATTAAGTAAGTTGAGATCTTATTGTTGGTATTTTTTAAGGGAAGCTGAAGAGAATGTTATAAACGAGCGATAGCTCGCCGTTGTCGATAAAAATGGGCGTGGGAAGCGGAAGAGGGGAGACAGAAGGTGTAATTCCCCTTTCCCCCCTCTCGCATATGAACAACCTCCAAATGGAGTGTAATTCCTTTCTTGAAATCTCTCTCTTTTGACTCAAGATAGGAGCCTCAGAAGACGTTCTGAGCAGTGTAGCTCTTGACGAAGGTGTGTCTTGCACTCTTCCGCCTCTGGGAGCCAAATAACGACTGGGGAAGGTGCTTAAAGCTACTTTTGCATTTCGACTTCAACCAATCGTTTGAAAAGCTCTTGTTTCATTATGATAAACTGAACATTGCAAACGAAAGATCTGTTGCAAGGGTGTGGGAAATTTAAAGAGCTCTCAACTTTCGGTCGCAGTTCCCCTCTCCCATGCTTATGCTTTCTCTTTAGAAAGCTTCAGTAAGTCTCAGGAGTCCGGAGGCTGACATGGTTGGAGAACTTTTCTCGGTGTCTGTAGCATGAAGTTGCTAAAAGTTGCGCCCCTCCCCCCACCTCTGAAGGTCTATCAGTGGCTACTAACCCTCCCCCTGGCATTTCGTTATGTTTCCCTCGCTTTTTGCCGATATCTATTTGCTCTTCTTGATCAGGAGAGCGATACGGAGTTAATTATAACTCAAAAAAGAAACACAGACATATTGATTAGAGCTCGAATCTTAATCACTCAAGAGGCAGTAATAGGGAAATAACGCTTTCTACGCATACTTGTAATTGGTTGACTTACGATTTACGCGTTTTCCCCTCCATAGGCGCATTTTGTTACTCCATTCTACGTACTGTGGAGCAGCAACATTGTGTAAGTAGTGTGTTACTTATTTCCATGACTCTTCTTCAATCTGGTGGCGTTAAGCCGGGTGTTAAGTTGGGAGAACAAACCACCGCACCCAGTAGGACTCGAAACAAAACCACATCTGGCCCAAAGCCAAAAACATGGGTTTGCTACCAAATTACTCTTGTCTGGAGGCTATGAAACCTTGCAGAAGATGGCAGGACCGCTCAAAGCGGAAGCTTGCTTGCAGGTCATGCTGTGGCGTTGTCAAAGGGTCCTTGCAGGAACCAGTTCCTCCTTCCCCTCCCCCTTCTTATCATTTGTGTCCGAAAAATGAGCATTCATCAAAGAACGGTGTTTAGCATTGATCTTGAATGTAAAAAGAAGAGAGTGAAAGAGCTGTATCGCATGAAAGCATTCGATTTACAGACCTTCAGGATTATTTATAATAATAGACCAACCTGGCTTGCCCCCAAATGCCAGTGAAACGCCAGCAGAGTTCTCTTACTGGAAACTTTACCAGCGCCTCGTTAGCTAACAAAACAGAATGCCCCTAAATTTTATTTCTTCCATTTCTTTCCACAGTTCTGGCTTTGGCGTGCATCTCTCTCCGTACTAGATTCCTGATCGTGTTGACCGCCGTCCACACCATCGTTGCTGCGGTCAGTTTGTTCTACTTTGTAGCCGTGCGCAAGTTGAACAAACCCACTCCAGAGAAACCCAACGCCAAGAACGGCTATGACGAAAATCACATCAACTGATGTTTTCTGTTTCCTCGTGGATTTTACTGCCCTTCTGTGGAAGGTCTACATTACGCTGGTTGACTCTTAAAGAGCCATCTCATACCAGCTTAACAGCACCCTCTTTTGAGGAAGCAGCGCGCTTTATTGACGAAATAATCTCCCGTACCAGATGGGTAAACTTGAGACAAACGGTGGTGTTCCCTAGTAAAGGCAAGGGTCGTTGAAGGCTTGTTATATATCTTGGATAACCCATTGTTCTCCCCTCACCCTCCCCTCCCCACTTTGTACTTGTATTTGACTAGTGTAGACTACCAGGCGCGATAGAAAAGGCTGTGTTGTGTTCTTCACGTTGACAAGTCTCAGAGTAATTTGTAGATAAGGTAATAGTGTAAGAAAATAGATTGAGAAAGCGCTAGGTTTGTCAACGAGAAAATTGTCTTGGTCGAGATTACGAGAAAAAAAATAAGGTCGTCTGTTAATTTTTGGCTTTGGCTGTGTTTTATTTACTGGAGTCGTGGCGCTCTATGTTTGATAAGGCTGAAGATATGACGCGCAGAGTTATTTCGTTCCAGGCATTTTCCGTTACCTTGAGTATCCGTTTTCTTTCCTATCTGAATAGTATTATCTGTAAATAGTTTTTTTTTATTTGATGTACGTTGCTTTTCTAATAAATGTACGAGGTAGCGATTCGTTTCGGTTCCAATACTTAAAAAAAAAAGCCTACGAGGCATTTTCGAACACATTTTACTTGTGAACCGATTTGGACTTTGAGAATCTAGATCAGGAAAAATGAAACTTTCTAAACTTTCTACACAAGACAATTCTCCGTTTGACCGGAAATAGGTAAAGACTCTTTAAACAGCTAAAATAATGATGATGCTGAATATTTCCCGAATTGGACTCATTATGCTTATGTGGAAGCCTTGTAAATACCTGTAGGATACGACTTCGTGCGCGGGAAAACGCCGGTCGCGATTGGTCTCAAGGTGATGCTACACAAGACGAATTTTAATCCCATTTTGTCTGTATCGTCTCGGCTCAGGCTCTTGCGCGCCATTTAGTCAGTCTTCAACTAAGGTGATTGGCCGCGAGAATGACGCGAGATTCCAGTCCAATCATGCCAGGAAGTTTTGATGCTCGGTTAAAATGATTACAATAGGACTTTTTATATTCCCAACTCTTTACACGCTAGCATCAGGTTGCATATTCTCCATACTGTTCTCTTTCCTGCGGTTCTCACAAGAAGAATGTGTTTAGCAATCAAGAGCTTCTTTAGGTGACGATCGTTCGCCTATTTCTCATGATCTTGGTTCTTGATTCTTACTGAGCAGTGATACTTAAGGAGAAGTTGGATGCTAGACACTCTTGAGAGTTTAAATGGCTAAGGCGGTTACTGTTCCTCAATGTGCTTAGTTTTGTCTATCGATCAAGATGTGAGAGAATGTTACAATATGACGTGGTGATTTGTAGAGCAATAGATTTGTAGATTCTGTATTTTGATCGTCTGTGTAAAGGCAGTGCCGGCGGGAATAGTCGCTGGTTACTGTTACTGACGTTTCCACCACCTGGAAGAAAGTTATTGTCATCATTAAAGAGATTTAGCACCGCCTTTTCATGAAACGGCAAACGTCAGCTTGCCCTTACACGTTTCACGTAAAATTGCGTGAACCTTTCTGCTTTAGCTTCGGGTGAGCTTACGTCATGGTGGATTTGAAGGCGCCCCTGTATGACTTACAAGGAATAGCTTTGGTGCCCTTTGTCCGACAAGTAGCTTCTACTCTATGAGGGAAAAAGTGAAGAAAAACCTTACGTACACGGCAAACGCGAAACGGGTTACTTTCACATTGAAACGGCGAAGCGCAACCGGCAATCATGAAAAAAAGGCGGGAAAAACAAGGTCACGTGGTCACTCTTGCCGTCCACGTTTCACGTTAACGCGGTGCTAAATCTCTCTATTAACAACAACTTCCGCTCAGGTTGACGAAACGACAGTTCACGAAAAACGTCAAAATTAGGTTAGAACCAAAAAAACAGCGTCACGGCAACATTGAAACTATTTGTTTCTTTATTATTAAGAAGCAAAATATTGTTTATTGTGATGTCATCTACGTGTCTCTCCTTCGTATAGATTACCCTTACGTGGACCATCAGGTTACATGATCTTAATTTGCACACTCCATCAGTTGTTGTTTTGTGATCGAAAAAGGAAAATTAAGCTTGTAACGAATGCACTTTTCGGGAAGGGACAGAAACGCTGCCATGATACTTGTTTTAGATTTTAGAACTGTTTGTATACTGTGCTCCCTTTGCAGTGTAGAATTGTGTAAATGTAGACATAACGAAACCATCTTGAACATTGTACATTGTAAGCACAGATACTTCATGGAAGTCATATTTAAAATTTGTAAACTCGATGGTTTTTTGATATTCCGTATACGCAGCAGTGTGTCTCTACCAGGGGAAACATCTTTAACGGGAGGGGGCGGAAAGTGGGGCTATGTGGGTGAGCGGTGGTAGTCCGCAGGGTTTTTACCACTCCCTCCCGAATGATCATTCCCTAAACACATATCGACTCTCAGCTTTTAAGAACATTTAAATCTCTACTCAAAACTTGGACCGATTCCCGTGACTTTCGCTTTCTTGCGAACGTTGAACGCCTTTTTATTTATCCAAGCCTCTTTCTGGCACCGCGAGTACGAATTATGTCCTTTACTCATCGCTTCGCGATTCCTGCGACATCGGTTTTCGTGTGCAATTTAATGCGGAAATCCCTCGTCAAGTAATGAATTTTCCTCTAGTATTTCGCGCACTAGTTCTGTATTTAATTTGGGTCTTGCGCACCTTTTGTTGTGTGTTTTATCTGTTACTTTTGATAATTTTTTTTAAGGATGCTTGGACCTAAGCGCTACCCTTGATCAGGACTACAATGAAGGGAACTCTTCTGGTTAACATTTGTTTTCTGTCACTCTCTGTCTTAATTAGAACTCGGAAAATGAAGCAAATCTTTCCTTCAAAAGAAAGGGCAGGTTCAACTCTCTTGGCTAATTTTTATCACATACCATTATAACTTTTTTATTGGTTTTTATTGTTTTTATATTTATCATCATCATCGTCACTATTATTATTATTATTATTATTATTATTATCATTATTATTATTGAAATAAACAATTTTTAATAGAAGAGAAAAATCGAGTTTCCAGATGGATGCTCACTATAGAGTCTCCTGTAGCTCAGTGGTTAGAGCATCCGACTAGATCACGGAGGGTCGTTGGTTCAAATCCCATCTGGAAACTCGATTATTATTATTTAACAATTGGTTCATGCTTTAGCGTGCACTATCGAGTTATGGAGCACGCGGGAAGTTTGGAGAGCACGAAAGAAGCGTAAGAGTTGCCCGAGGCGATAGCCGAGGGCAACTCTAGCTACTTGAGTGCTCTCCAAACTTCCCACGTGCTCCATAACTCGAGAGTGTACAGCTGAAAGCATGAACCAATTGTTTTAGAACATAGCCGGTGGAATTGTGCATCAAATGCGACGCGAAAAACGGACAACAATATCAGTTGAAGCGAATCGTGACGGCGCTGATGCCGAGTCTCCTTTTCCTTTGTTTTTCTCTTTTTCTGCCTCATTTAAGAACTCTAGCCCATGGGAAAAGGTCGAAACATTGTCTTCGTTTTCGGAATAGCAGGCCGAGTTTCTGTTTGTATCCATTATTGTCGCGAAATGTATTACTTTTCCCCGCACTAGCAATGGCCGCTCACGCGAAAAAAACATTTTTCTGGCGAAGTCGGATTTGCTGACGCTATCAGCGTGCACTATCGGGATTTTGAGCACGCTTATGTATAATGAATTTGATTGCGCGACTCTGCTAGCTATGTTCTAATGTTATTTTATCTTCATCTCTAAAATCGTTTTGGCGGTCGTCATCTTTGAATGTTCAGATGCTGCCATTAGCTATTTTACGACAAAAAAGACAAACACCGTGAGACAGACGATCCATATTTACAAATGAACTGGTGATCGACACTTTTGGAATCCTTTTAAAATGAGTTCAGGAATCTCTTGGACCTCTGGGATAAAATTATCACCAGAGGAAATCAAACAATCTGCCCCACTCCTCACGGTGTCATTTTGAATACTGATTGTGAGGCACGCGAGAAGTTTGAATTAAATTGTAAATATACTTGCAACCATTAAGTATCCATATCTCGTACGTCAGGATCTCTACACGTGGAAGCCAGAACTACGTTTTCCTGCCTGCTTTAAATCTTATAATGCAGTTTCGAAGGTCGAACAACATCTGACGGTAGAAGTTAAAATGTTTTGTGTCTTGGATGTCGATCTTTGGTGTGTAACGCCTCGCATGCAGGTTGCATGCCTCTGCATGCCTCGCATGCAGGTTGCAGCAAGTGATGAAAAGCCAGCAGACGCGATGAATTCATGTAAGTTATTAAGCTTCTCTATTTTTCTCTCCAGGTTTAAGTTTATTGCAATTCTGTGTGCTTTGAGAGAGCTGAAGTTCTTCGTTCCATCTGATGCACCTGACCGAAAGAGCGATACTCAGAGATGTGCGAGGCTTCATGATACAGTTATTTGAATGCATCAGTTTAATTCTGGGAGAATGTACTTTTATAATTTGATAGAAAAGAAATTTGTCGTTTTATTAAAATCAAGTAACAACTCAAAGGAGGAAAGAAAAACAAAAAAAGAGTGCTATCATATTTAGCATACGAGGAAAGTACACAATCTTTTCTTTCTTTTAGGATGTCAAGAGTTAAACAGGGAGCCTTACGATTATCTTACTCAAGATTATACTTAAAACAAATTGTTCTCATTCATTTCTTCTATTTTTAGATTTGAAAGAGCTCAAGAAGGTGTGAAGCGAGAAGAAATAAGAAAACATGGTGCTTGGAGACTAAAGAAGTCTGTTACCTGAAATAAAGCTTATGAAAAGTCATGCTACGCCTGATTATAAAATCAATCGCGGCTATGCGAGCGGTATTTACGAAATTAATATATATTACAAGTTTGCACTTTTAAAAGGGCCAACCTCAGAAAACACTATGTATTTGGGCGGAAAAATCTTTCCTTCGAATGACTGAAAAAATGTTCGCTAACAATTCCAAGTCTTTTTTTTTTATTATTGACTGGAAACTAAAAGTGCTTGCAAAAATTCTTTTGGTGGGAAAATTGTCTTGCAAAAAATATCTGCTTTTGAATTGCATTTTAATATAAAATTAACGTAAAAAAGTGATGCTTGGACTTTCGACGGTCATTTAAGAGCTGAGGAAAACGAGTTTTTTAGCACGCGCTTCGGTAAATATATGCAATCGATTGTAAGAAAGATTCTGAGATACTGACTAAAACTTAAAACATTTACATAAAAACAATACAAAATTGCGGCATAAATGATAAAAGAAAACACAAAGGCAACACAAAAAGTAAAATAATTGAATAAATAGCTTTTTAGCAGGAAAAATATTGTTCCATGCACACGATTTTCTACAATCAAAAGTCAAGTAAATGTTCTTGTTTTAACACAAGATCCTGTCTTTTTTTTCCTTTCGACAACCCTCCATACGATGTAGTGCTTATTAGCACGAGTACGAAAAAACCAAGATAAACTCAACCATTGACAATAAGAGAGAATGACAATATGGCATGATTAAAAGGTATGACAATTGAAGGCTTTTTCAAGCCATATCTTTTAATAATTTCCGATTTTTTTCGTTAGGCACATCATTCTCAAGTAGAAGGTAAACAAAAACAGAGAAATTCTGCTCCAATAAGGTTACTGAGACTAGTTTACTTGTCAAAGAAGCCTGGCATGTGAGAATAAAGGCTTTACAAGAATAATCTATAATTATCTTGGACTTGAAAATCATCTACTTATTCCAATTAGCCTTAAAGGCTAACGTTGAACACCTTACTCTTAATCATGGGATGCGACTGGAAGCTTTATTCTATGTGGCACAAAAGAGGAAGGAGGCAGATAAACAAACAAGTAAACACATAAAAAAAATGTATAAATCATCGCACACAAAAATTACCATGCATATGCAACCAAGACTTGCAAATCAGATACAATGAAATATATGAAATTCATATATTTTGAACTGCGGTATTAGATACGTATGATGCACGATCCTCGCAGTAGATAGCGCTATTTAAGCAATAGCGAAAATCAGACCTGAAAAAAATCAGGCCTGTACGGGATTCGAACCACTGACCTCTGCGATACTAGTGCAGCGCTCTACCAATTGAGCTAACAAGCCAACTGGGAGCAGGCCGTTAAGTTGATTCGTAATAAACCCGTGAAAGTGATAAATCAGATACAATGAAATATATGAAGTTCATATATTTTGAACTGCGNGCCGCGTCAGGGATTTTGCCATTCCCAATTCTTCCATGCACGCTGGAGGTTCTGGAATGTCAAATCCTTAGACAACATGATCTATCTAAGTAAACGACTCTTAATGGCTCGTAAGGCCTTATATTTTTTTCTTTGCCGCTGACCCAGCCTATCATTTGAATTGTGGAGCCTCTTAGTCGAAATTCGGAGTAGAGCACTCAATGGCAAGAAATGAAAAAGGGTTCCTCGCTTTCCCTTTCGTTTGTGGCAAGCTTCACGACGTTTAACACAGAAAATCTAGTATAGAGGAAATGTGGTAAGTTTCGAGCCCTCCTTGTCTTACTTTGCAAGTCTTACGTATGATGCACGATCCTCGCAGTAGATAGCGCTATTTAAGCAATAGCAAAAATAGCGCTAAATCTATCGATTTTTTTCAGGTCTGATTTTCGCTATTGCTTAAATAGCGCTATCTACTGCGAGGATCGTGCATCATACGTAAGACTTGCAAAGTAAGACAAGGAGGGCTCGAAACTTACCACATTTCCTCTATACTAGATTTTCTGTGTTAAACGTCGTGAAGCTTGCCACAAACGAAAGGGAAAGCGAGGAACCCTTTTTCATTTCTTGCCATTGAGTGCTCTACTCCGAATTTCGACTAAGAGGCTCCACAATTCAAATGATAGGCTGGGTCAGCGGCAAAGAAAAAAATATAAGGCCTTACGAGCCATTAAGAGTCGTTTACTTAGATAGATCATGTTGTCTAAGGATTTGACATTCCAGAACCTCCAGCGTGCATGGAAGAATTGGGAATGGCAAAATCCCTGACGCGGCCATAGCCGCTTCCAGCATTTACAACCCAAGCTATAAATCCAGCAATGGTCAGCTGTACAATTATCCGGCTGGTTGGGTAGCTCGTACCACAGATCTCCAACAATGGTTTCAAGTAGATTTTGGAGACTTGACCCTGGTGAAAAGAATCTGCACCCAAGGTGATGCAATCTGCACCCAAGGTGATGCAAACAATAACAACTAAAACAACTATGGTTTTTAAGGATTATCAGGCGGATAGTCTTTCAAAGGTGTGGTTGTTTTCTACAAATTTAATCAAATGCAATGGTTATTCATTCAGTCACAAAGAACAAATCTCAAAAAATAAAGATTCACCCGTTCAGGAGACTCGCGGCCTTTTAAGCAGCAAAGTTGTTGACTCTTGATCACCTTTGCTAAGTTTAATTCCAGCACTCCTCAATCGAATGTCGGAAGTAGTCTGGCATTACGCCGCCCTTGTTTCAGAGCGCTTTGGTAAAATCACAACCTAAGTAATAAAAACGGCTGATCAGATGAAAGGAAAGTATCTCAAAAGGCGTGGAGAGTTCAAAGTTCAAACATGCAAAGTGCGTGAAAATGCGAGTTTGCAATTCAAACTGCATTCCTGGGGCGGATCCAGGATTTAGTCAAGGGGGGTTCGGAGAATTGTCTTCATCCGGAGGGGTCCGAAATTTTGAAAATTAGGTCTTCGGAAACATGAATTCCAGCGTTCTGAGGGAAAATTTAGGGGGTTCGACTCAACCACCCGAACCACCCCTGGATCCGCCCCAGCAACGAGTTCCCACTGAATCGTACAGGTAGACATTTTACGAGAGTTTTCTGGAGCACAGCTAAGCGAAACCAAGGCACTCTAGAAATACTCTCGACACCAATTGAACAATTGAAATTGTTCAGTTTTACTCTCACCATTTTAGCCTCCCTTTCAACGCACCACGTGCCAAACCAAGTTAACAAATCGATAGTCATCGTGGTCTGTTCTCTGACATCTCTTCTTGACAACGTTATTCGGCACCCCAGCGGTCAAATTGCTGTGGACTAATGCAACTTTTGAACCCTGTGATGAAGAATATCGTTGTCGATAAGAGTACAGACCACGCTAAATCACTGTCGATTTGCTTTTTCTGCAATATCCGATTCTTTCAGTGCGTGACACGTTGCGTGACATGTTGACGCGAGCAGCGTTGTTTGTACCGGTCTTATCGACAACGGCAAATTGGCCAATCAGATTGCGGCATTACTGCCAACTGCGGTAAAAAAAAAACCAATCTCAACCTCGTCCATGAGTTTTCAGTTCTCATTAGCTCCTTGTGATACATTCTCCCTCGTATCCATCTTTGAACGCCAAGCCTTCTAGCTTTGACCAATAAACAGAGGCAATTATTAGCTTCCTTTCCATTTATTTTATTTCAAGGAATTTGCAGGCAATACAATCTATTATTAAGTAGTATGCCATGATCTGAAGAATCCACTTTTCACAAGATACATTCGCATTATCTCATTAGCATGGCACAGTTAAATTCCCCTGAGGACTGCCTTTTATGGATGTATATCTTGTATAAGTTTTGAATACGATACTTCCAATATATCTAATTTTTCTATCTTAAAATCGCGTTTGGTCATAAAGAGAGATAACAGTACTTACCAAGTTTTTGTCGTGTGTGAGCATAGTTAATTGTGCGGTTTTGTTGCCGGAAATTCTGACCGATTTACACCAGTAAGGAACTTGTTCTTACACGGAATATCCGCAGTCACCCAGAAACATGGCTGTCCCATATATCTCCCTGAGAGCAGAATTTTACAACCGTAAAGAAGATAAAATGTTTATTTTATTATTTTTTTTGGCACTTCTCGAACCGCAGACCAAAGAAGGACATTTAAAGAGCCAGTGAGAACTCCCAGTGAAATGAATGTAAGCGTGGGTAAACACGAGTTAGAAAGACCTTCTTACCATTCGTTAACCGCGTTATGAGTTTTCCATCGGCGTTTTTCAGTCTGCTGTGTGCAAATGTTCCAGTGTATTCCCCGTAGAAACTAAATAAAGTTGGTATATATCTCTTGAAAAAGTAACCAAAATCTTTCAACTTAGTCATTTACCGTCCGTGTAAATCTTTTCACTCAGTTAACGCTTTCTCTCCCAAGATCTCATCAGTAATTCTCGTTACTGTCTGCCATACAATTCTTATGATGTTAGTTTGGAGAATTTGGCATGGGATCAACTAATTATCCCCAAATTATTGTTTTTTTTCTCTTTATTCTCATCAATTATCTACCAAATGTTGTATTGATTTTATAAGGAGAAATTCTATCTTGGTTACTCACAGGAGTTCTGAGTGAAGAGGTTAATCATCCTCATTCTTTTTAAGTTATTCTGACTATTGCTGTGTTCTTGTATCTCACCAAAACAAAGTTTTTGGTTGTTGCTCTATATCTTGCTGCATGTCTTGTTTCGTGACTGGTCTCTAGGTTGCAGAATCATATATATCTCTATATCTTGCTGCATGTCTTGTTTCGTGACTGGTCTCTAGGTTGCAGAATCATGTCATGTGGCTCTGAGAGTTGACTATTTTTTACCACAGAGGTACATTTACCTTTTCAGCGCCACATTTAGGCAGCTCTTAAACCAGTGGACCCAAAAAAATCTGTGTGAGGAAAAAAATGGGTTTTTGCAAATGGTAAAAATATTTAAACTGCCAGTCTCAGAGATGTGTATTTCTAGTCTTACCTGACTCTTCTTCTTTGGCTCTGTTAAATATGTGATTAAAAAAGTTGCAGCAGAGAGAAACCGAGGTATAAAAAGGTTTACCCGAGCGCATGCGCTTGAAAACGAGAAACCTAACAGACGAGGTTTTTAAAACGACCGGTGAGTCTTTTGAAGCTTAATTGTTATGCTGAGGTTTCCATGAAATATTTGCAGTCAATGGCGGCTACTCTGCTTGGGCAGCATATGGAGACTGTTCAAAGACTTGTGGAGGCGGGGAACGGACACGTGAGCGAATATGCACCAATCCCCCACCAGGATTCGGTGGTAATGACTGCACTGAGCTGGGTCTAAGTTCTTTTACAAGAAGTTGTAACAAAATGCCATGTCCTGGTAAGGCAACTATGATTTATGTACATCGTTATCTACAATGCAAAGGAAGTGTCTGTGACGTAATGGTTAGAGCGCTCGAACTTCTAGTGCCTGGAGGATAAGCTGCAATTCTCTTTGTTACCACGTTCAGCGGTCTCTAGGATCTTCTGATTTCTTAAGTATGGGCGCCTATGCTCCGCTAATATGTATTTTGGGTTATTTTTTCTTTTTTTTTGTAACGTGCAGGACAATCGTTAAATATATAAGGTTTCAAAGTATCAGCTCGGTTAGAAAGGGCAAAGAAAAAAGTCTATAAGAAGTCAAGGAAGAGAAAGGATTGTTAAGAATGAAGAAGATTAGAGAAGGTTTTCGGTGAGCCTGGAATTTATGGTACAAATCTCAAGATGTTCGAACCTTAACGTAGCCCAGAAAGGACAAAACTGATTGGTAAAAACACGGAATTCCCCAGATGGGACCAACAGGTCGATGATTGGCTGCTTTCGAGTAACTTCTAATTGAGTGTCAAAAGTAAGCCGGGATTGCTTTAGTTTTGCTTCGCTCTCTGATTGGTCCACAAATATCGAGTCACTCTCTCAACCAATCAACCCGCGCTTCAGGCGATTTGGTTGCTTTTACTTTGAGTTCTTGTTGGCTCTTTTTTCTTTCTTCTGATCGGCCGTTGCTGTGATTACTTTGGTTTTGGTTTTGCGACACAATCGAAAAGTGCTTTACGTTGAAGATTGGAGGGTACATCTTATACCAACACGAAGGTTCTTGTGTTACAATAGTACGTAACAGATCAATTTTCTTCTATAAATACTCGATGACCCGCAGGAAGTAATTATTTATCAGTGGTGTGATTTGAGAAATGTTCAACTAATTGAATGTTAAGAGATTATGTTGGTTTACGACACTAGGATGCGCTCTTTGATTAGTGTAGAAAAGCTTGCGTTCCCACTCTCGACCAATCAAACAAAAACACTAAAACCAATCTTTGGTTAATAAATAATTTAACTATATCTCTCGGTTAGTACGTGCGCTATGATTGGTTACTTGAGCAGGAAGAATTTCTCTATACCGCCCGCTAAATTAATAAGTTTGTTTGAATACAAATTTCCCCCCTCTATTTGGACCCATAGATAGGATAAATATCTTACTAACCCCGTTTTCTCAGTCAGTATTTACGAATCCTTTCTTTTAGCTCTGATTTATGTCCTGCGTGCTTTGCGCTTGGATCATGAATCCGAGGAAGGAAACTTGGTCCGTATTACAGCAAGGTCCTCGCACTCGATTAGTAAGAGGTATTTATCGCGCGCAAACGCCATAATTAGTATCACATAATTAAAATAAACTTGGAGAGCTAATTTCCTAGGATGTTTTCTGAGAAATTTAATTCACTGATGAGTTTAATAAATTTTGAGCTCGATAATGAAATGGCGAAAGATGTTTTTCGTCCCGACGCGAGCGGAGTTTCTTTTTTTTTTTAATCAACAGCTGCTTGAAAGCCACTAGGCTGCTATATAATGAAAGCTAAAGCGCTCGATGAGTATTTCCTGAGAGCAGGAAGCATCTCTCAGATAAGCAAGAGATTCAGCGCATGCGGAAAGGAGGCCAAGGCTAAAGGAATCAAATTGTTTGGTATGGATGACAAGCGATGCTGGACAAGTGATGACCCAGAGAAATCCTTCAAAAAGTTTGGGAAATCGGGATTGTGCATGGCGAAGAAAGAGTATGGCACTGGCTTTACAAAGTCACTCACAGTGTTCGTATACCGCATGGATGACAAAGGGTATGATACCGAGCCTTTTCATCTGCTAAATTAGCTGTCATGGGTATGCACAAGCATCAGGAGTCATACAACAAGTATTCGTGCAGAGATTTTTTTCTTTCTTTTTTTCTTTTCTCTCTCTCTTTTTTTTTTTTTTTTTTTTATTTGGCTGGGGGTAGATTTCACTTACATGATCTTTTATAATTGCGAAAACAGTTTAAAAACCGCACGCCACGTGCAACCAATTTCCTCTGACTTTAGCCGTTTGATCCAATAGATCACCGGTACGAAATATTTGGTTCTTTTTTAAACGTACGCTTGTACATTATTCAACCTCAGGAGTGTTTACCTGGAAATCAACTTGCAGTAAACCTAAGGCCTAGTTTATACCTCGCGCTACAGTCGAATTTAATTCAGACGAATTTAAATTCGTCGTTCCGTCGACATAAATCGTGACGTGGTTTTATGCGTCGAAATCAATACGGTCAAATTTAATTCTCTTCCCAAATGCAGTGTCTCTGGTCAGGTGTCACTCCAAAAGCTCGCCACGGGTCGCTGCGGGCTCGCCAATATAAATTAAGAAAATGTATGCATTTCATTCGACGCGACGCTAGTGCGACGTTAAAACTGAAGACGCGTTATCGATATTTTATCCGTCTTACCAAGACGGATAAAACGTCAAGGTCGAATTTAATTTGCCAGACGAATTTAATTCGTTTTAGACGTCGCGCTTTCGTCGAATTTAATTGCTTGTGGGACCTTGAATTAAATTCGTCTGAATTAAATTCGACTGTAGCGCGACATATAAACTAGGCCTAAGACTCGCATTTAGTGATCGACTTCACGGTGAAATTTCCACTCATAACTTAGTGACTGATAAGAATTTTAATTGAACTTCATTTCGTGGTAATTTTACAATGGTTATGTCACGGAATAATATAAGTTTTCTTTGAAATGAACAGATGCGAATATATCGCTCGGGCACGCCCTCATTATTCGTAGCGACGCTTGCGTGTAAAATCTCCTGACGTCTGTAACCTATTTTGATAAAAGAACGCTTATAAACGCGTTTCTTTTCATAACAGGTGAAATTAAAGCAGTGGACTGCTATGTTAACAGTGCCCCTGCAATTTTGCCCCAAGCTTTTGACAAAAATGTTGAGAGCGTATCCGGTACTGAAGCTATAGTTAAGTATTGCCAAGAGAGGGCCACGAAGTTTGGCTACAAAATCTTTTGTGTCGACAATAAGGGATGTTGGTCTGGTGACAATGCAGCTTCAGTATATGACGATTACGGTCGATCTAAGGGATGTACAATGTCAAAGAAAACTCGGAACGGAGTTGGTTCAGAGATTAACGCTGATATCTTTGTTTATCAGCCTCAAGAATAAGGTATGGCTTCCTTTTTTGTGTGTTTCAGTTTTTGCCCTTCAAAGTGTTAACCACATGCTGTGTTTCAATCCCAGTTATCGGACAGAGCGCTCTTCAATTAATTGTCGTGACACCAAAACCTAAGTAATTGCAACGAGCTGGTCAATCAGAATCAGGGATATATCACAAGGAGGCAGTAGGTGAACAGCCTGTGGGTGGTTTTAGTCTTGCATCTGATTGGTTTAGAGTGCAGTGCGGGTTTCTCAGATTACGTTCGCCACTAAATTGAAAAACTGTGAGTTTTGAGCTTTATTACATCCAGTTTGAAATCACTGGTGGTCTCTGTAATCTGATTGGCTCTAACTGGTACGATTTATTCACGAATCGCACCATTTTTCGCTCTAAATTACATCATTTTACGCTTGACTGAGTTTTGACACATGATGTCAGTCTTTCTGTTTTGCATACAAAATAAGATGTAAAAGCGTTTCCGGTTCGAATTCCGCTTTTTATCTAAAAACCGGCTCAGTACTGCATCAATAAAATATTTGAATCGACTAAGTCCTGTATTTGGGCGATTTCAAAATGGATGCAATTTTGGTCTGAAATCATACTTGGGATTTCAAAACGAACTCGCGCTGCGCGCTCGTTCCATTTTGAAATCACGCGTATGATTTCAGCCTAAATTGCACTCCACTCAGTTCAATTACCATCACTGATTGTATTGTTTGAACCTTTTTAAATTCATTTCACCATGCAAACATGGATTTACTTCTAGTTATGGTTTTTGAAATCCTGTAAGTCAGGAAATATTTCATAAAATCGGAATCTCTGAGCATTTTTTTCATTTTACCTATATCTCTTGCAGATGTCAGAGTCATTATTCAAACCAGATGTGAAATGGTTTTCCGAAATCATGGAAAATGGATATATATTGTTAGACTTCTTGAAATGTAAACACATTAGTATTAGTTTAAAAAGAATAAAGAAGGGGCACTGAAACCTTTGTGAGAGTTTATTATCTAATATTTAACCTTGCGGTAAGGTTCTCCTAAAAACTTAACTTTCCTCAAATGTACACCTTTCAAGGACGCGACAGAGAAAAGAAAGGGGGGGAAGAAGTACGTGTGCCCTACCCTCCCTCTTTTTTTTTTTTTTTTGGAATTGTAATGCAGCATGAACTGCCTTAGTAATTGCCTCTACACTTAATTATTTAGTTCCGTCACAGAACGACGGTTCCACAACGGCTGTGAGGTGTTCTAGTTGCTAGGTGCAGAATCTCTTGCATTGCTTCCTTACTTTTCTATTCGTTACATAGTGTAGTATCTCGCGCACAGTTTGTTCTGTGTTCTTCTTAGCTCAAGCACTTGATTATGAGAGAAAGCAACTACAAAAGCTGTCACATGAGCTCAGCTTAAAAAATTTCGTGATGCAAATATACGTCAACCTCGTTTCCAAGATTTAATCAGCGTAAGGCTGGGTAGCACGTGAAAATCTATAAACACATTTACATTTTACGGTTCCTCGTGGTAAAAATTGGTTAACTTCGCTGGAAAGCAAGAACGTTAAAAACTCGCTGGAAAATGAAACCTTCTGTCCAAACGTGGTCGGAAGCATTTGGGAGTCATTCCTGCTTTTATTAGGAGACTTGTCGACCCGGACCAACCGTTCTAACATCTCAAAACATAACGCTCAGTAAGTTGTCAAATTTGTGTCGTTTGATACAGCACGCCCAACAAAATGAAGAAAATTCCATATTAGTTGTGTTCGCGACAAGCAGTTCCACACCAATGTCGTCTTTTGATAAAGAAGAAATATTATCTCGTAGCGTATCCAAGAGAAAATCTGTCCACCACTTGCTTTTGTCCACCTTACTATCGAGCAGTGGCCCGGTAAGGAATAATGTTCCGTGTTTGCTTGGCCGTAAATTCAAACCGAACTTGTAAATGCGATGTTAAGACTGATTCTCCCTACTGTCTGCTTTACAATTTTTATGATGTGAGTTTGGAGAATTTGATATTGGATCAAAAAATAATCCCTTTAAATATATTTAACTTTATTCTCATCACTTGTCTGGTTGATGTTGTTTTAATCTGTCTTGGTCACCTATAGGAATTAAAGGGCTGGTTAGTTTTACGAGGTCTAACTCAAACCGCTGTTACGTATTTATTCTCCAAAAGAGGGTTGTTGTCATAAAATAAATTTCCTTTCGCTGCTAGCTTTCGGCCCTCTTGGCACTATCACTCCCAAAATAAATGTTCAGATTAAAGATTCAGCTAAATTCAAGATAGCTTAGACCGCGGTTTTGTCAAACAACAGCGAAACTTTGTTTTAATAACCGACCCCATGGTTTTAAAGTCCAAACATACTCTCCTAACTTCCGCAGGAAGTAGCACTTTAATTTTTTTTTTCCTTTTAGGTGTCCTGATATGGATGAGGCATTGAAAATAAAGCATGGAAGTGTACGGAAATAAAAAGGAAAAAGCAAACAGTAACTTAAAGGTAAGGTTTAGAAACAAGTTTATTTGAACAAGGCTTACCATCTGTACACGCGACTGCTGTTTTGATATATGCACAAGACGCGTTCACTTGCGTCAGCAACGTGTTTTAAGGTAAAAGATAGGCAAAGAATCCCCAAGCAACTCATGGGCGCAAAGTTATGTCGCTAACTGAAAGAATGATCAGAATGTATACAAACTGTTCGTTGCGCTTTGCAAAAAACAGTATAGTTGGGAACATGGTTTCGAAAGCAATTTTGTGCAAAGAAGCACGGGTAAATTTTTCATGGTCAACAAACTTACACGAGCCCGTAGGGCGAGCGAAATTTGTAGTCTTTGAAAAACTTACAAGTATTTCAAAAAGGTACCAGGCATAAGGCAGACAATCAATTCGTCCTGAAGGTTACCGTGCACCTTCAGGGGTGCGTCCGGTTTAAACTGTCGATATCTAAACCTCTATATCAAATTAGAGCTTATAGGACTGGCTATCAGACTATACCAAAAATTGTGAAAAAAAATTAATTGTCGAATTTTTCACGAAATCTAAGTGCGAGCGCCCGAATCACCTTTTAAGAGCTACAAGTCAAAGGGAGTTTGTTCGATTGCCCTCAAATTTTGAAAGTAGCTAGTTTTACATATAAACAACAAAAATGTGTCTCCGAATTTTTTATTTCAAAATAATTTTTTTTCAAGAGCGATTTTTGTACAATCACTCCACATTTTTTTAATCCTATTTCAAAAATGTTCTGTAACTTTTCACTGAAATTGAATATGGCAAATCGCGGACACGTTTTTTTAGCGCTTTGGCCCCGGAAACAGAGGAGCACATTAAATAAGCGAAAAACAAAATTAGCTTTGACATGTAACGTTCAAAAGGTGATTCGGGCGCTCGCATTTAGAAGTCGTGAAAAATTCGACAAATCATTTTTTTTCAGAATTGTTGGTATAGTCTAATAGCCAGTCCTGTAAGTTTTAATTTGATATAGGAGTTTAGATATCTACAGTTAAACCGGACGCGTTACATCGCTTGCACGCGAGACACCCCTGAAGGTGCACGGTAATCTTAACTGTTCCTAAAGCTTCTGTATTTGTAAATCGAGTCAGGTGTCGCACTGTCAAGGTATTTGGCTCCGCAATCATTCATTCTCCAAATTTTGGCTGTTCTCCTCAGGTATCACAGAAGGGAAAAAAATGTATTTTTTTCAATTTCCTGAAAATTTTTATTAAATATCTAGTATATATATATATATATAAAAAGATCTATCATCTTCTGAACATTTTATTTTAATATCTTTTTTTTAATTTAGGAGATATAAAGCAAAAAGTAATTTGAGTGTAGAACGAAAGGCGCGAGATTTATGACAATTCATGTCAACTTGTTCTCGTCACCTAATTAACGATTTCAAAACCAACCCTTGATTTTCAATGCACACATGTACAGTTTTGTATAGTTCTGAAATCGCTCATTCGTTATCAAGTATACTTACATTAGTTCTTTCCCAAAACTAGATATATAGAGAGATTGTTTTTGTAATTCAAGTGTTGTTTTCAGAGCTGTTATCATGTCCAAAAGCGACAAGTACCTTTTGCTGCTCCGGAAAATTTCATCGCAGTTTGCAACGGAGTGGAAATGTTGTTTACCGATAGTGATAGCGGGTTCCGACTTGACTCGGAGAGATTAAAAATTGGCTTGCTCCAATGTCATTGGATAACCGCTTCCACGGGCATCAGGTGGGAACGCGTTTATGTAAACAAACGCCAACGCCCCAAAATGCTTCAAGTCGCTTTTCCTCCTAAAGCGTTTTCGCTTGAGTTCTGAACTTTGGAAAGTTTAATCTCGGTCGATATTTGACAATTTTCGAATTTCGCGAGATTTGAAGATAATTTCAGAAACATAATGAACCCCAAACGTGTATCTGAGAAGTTTGTTTTTTTTTTTTCCTTACTTTTTATGATAGAGCCTTTATATTGAGAACTTTGTTCAAAAGTGCTACCTTGAAGTTTAAAAAAATGATTACAAAACTCATCAAGCGTTAAAAGACTCATTCCAGACACAGTTTTTCAGTTCAATATGTGCAGAGCTCGTTCCGATAAAAGACAGGTGTTGACTGAAAGCGTCGTCAAATAAACTTATCATGTAGAACGCCTCTGCCTGAAAGAATAAGCTCCCATTCTGTTCAATGGCAAAAATAAAAAAAGAAATAAATGACATAACCGAAATCAGTATTTATTAGGCTTCAGGAAAATGTCTATTTCTATAGGGATAGCGTGAATAGTTTTCACCCTATTTCAGTTTGATATTGAATGAAAACGTTGATTTTTGTTCTGTGATAGCTTAACTGAACTTTGCTTTGCCGAAATTTACATTTTTCGAATATGAAGAGGTTTTAGGAAACTTAATTCAGGTGAAAGATTGATGTCGGTGCGCCATCGAGCTCTCAAACCTAGATTCAGTGTGGTTCGGTCACGAATTGCTGAGGTTCATAAACAACAGTGATACTCATTAGCTTACAGGTATCATTGTCATATCGAGTAGCGTTCTTCTCATATTTAACATCCCCCATTGTTTTGAATTTTATTTTTTCTTATCCAAGTACTGAGTGCAAAATGAAGTATAGGTGGCATAAAAATCTTAGAGGAACTAATACACAGTGGAGTTGGAAAGGGCACTTGTAGTGATCATCAAGTTTAGACAAAAGGGGAGAAATGTCTTTGTTTACAACGTTTTGCCACTTTTATTTGGTAGAACTAAGTTCAATTTCGTCGAATTTTAAAACTTTCTTTTGTGTGTTATATTTCAGTATTGATATGCTGGTGAGCCGCCATGTTAATTTGGACTGCATAACGCATGCTCGGAGAGTGAAGACTGAGGAAAACTTACAAGAAAAATACTTCGAAAAGATAACGTAGTTGTTGAGAAAAGATTGTTGGAAATCAATGCAAGAGGTAACAATTGTAACCTAGACCCACAAATAGCGTTTCCCGTTGTTCGATTTTGAATTTTTAAAAACAAATCGGTATTTCGTAGTAAACGCAGAGCTCTCAAATTTTAAAATGAAATTACCCGGAGATGAACAAAATTTATGTTCATTTTGTGGAGGAGCTCAATAACCAACAGTAATAATTTAGGAAGGCAAATGTTCAAAATCTAGGACTGGTTCCGTTGTTAGGAAGGACACTTCCAGTGACTCTATGAAACCTGTCGGTTGAATTGAGTAGATTCTTTCGCTGTCAAATCTGGCCGAGCCTTAACTTTTTGGTTGAAATTTTCTAACTTAAAAGTTATTGCGATGAGATTATATATAGTTCTTTCTTTTCTTAATCTTTTCTTCTTCGTAGAATTGGTTTTGTCCTAATTTCAACTTCGCCTACTTATGTTCTGTGAGCTGGAGTTCCTATTGTTGTGATTTCTTACTATCAGCAATGAATAAAAATGCAAACAAATAAAAAATTCATCTCCACTATATTGTCTGTTCCTTTTCTCTTTTCAATTCAAAAGAGTGCAAATAAAAATATTTGCGCTTTTATAAGGGCCTGGTAACAAGTCAAAATGTAGGCTGTCTTGTACTTTTTTCGCGTATGGAGGGTTGTCGAGAGGGAAAAAAATCTCTGCAGATTTGAACAGCATCTAGCGTTAAAACAAAAAATATACTTGACTTTTTACGGGAAAAAATCGTTAGCATGGAGCAAAATTTCTTCCCGAGAAGAAGACAGTATATTTTTCGATCTAAACTAGACATAATTCAAAGGCGCAGACTTTTTTTTCCATGAACAATTTTCCCGTCAAAAGACTTCGAATTGTTTGCCAACATTTTTAACTTCTCAACTATTCGAAGGGAAGATTTTCCCGCCAAAAGAATTCGTACATTTTTGATAAAAACTAGACAATTCAAAAGCCCAGACTTTTTTCCGTAGACAATTTTCCCGCTAAAGAACTTATTGCAAACTTTTAGTTTTAAGTAAAAAAAAAAAATTAATTGTTTACAAACATTTTTCAATTTTTCTAATGAAAGAATTTTCCGCCAAAAGACTTATAAATACGTATTTATTTCGCAAAAACCGCACGCCCAGCCGCGATTACTTTTCTAATCAGGTGTAACATGGCTTTTCGTAAGCTTTATTTCAGGTAACAGACTTCTTTGGTCCTAAAAGAACCATGTTTTATTAGATCTTCTCGCTCCATACCTTCTTGAGCTCTTTCAAATCTAAAAGGAAGAAATGAACGAGAAACATTTGTGTTAGATATAATCTGAAGTAAGCCTTCTCGATAATCGTTAGACTATCTGTGTAACCCTCGACATCATGACATCGGTATGCATATTCTCCAAACCGTTCTTGATGCTATTTTCCTGAGGTGCTGACAAGATCATTTCCTTTTTTCCCAGAGCCTATTTACGCATGATTCAGGGGTGATATTGTAGGAACTTGCAGAGAGTATACGTATTTAGATGCTAGTCACTCTTTGGGTCAAAGGTTAAACATTTTCGGCTGCAGGAGCCATAAATGTCACCATAACTATAGTTAGCGTGACATCTCAAGTTTCGGGTTGAGACGAGTAAAACTCGAAGCTAAAAGAATCTATGCACATTATTTTTAGAGCAGCACATTCGAGGTTTTCAGATGAAAACAATTGAAAATGCATTTCCCTGACAAAAATTTCTGTGCCTCATCAAATCTCCTCTTTAAACCAGAAGGATGGCAATTTTTGCAGTTGGAGAAGCAATACTCAGAATATTAGGCTGTAAATTTTTTTTTTTTTTTTTAAAGCGGTAAAATCATGACGACGACATAAAACGTGACAGTCCTGATTCATCGTTTCACTTCTGAGATCCAGATACCAATTCTCTCTACTCTCTGTCATACATTTCTGATGATTTAAGCTTCAGGAATTTTTCGATAAATCAAACAATATCCATTCGTTTCCATTTTTCATTTCTCAGAACCTTTCTGCAGGAAATTATATTTTTATTGTGTGGAGAAATTTTTTGTTGGTCACTTCTGACAGTCCAAGCGTTGAAGATGATATGGCACGTGGCAAAGGTAAGCTCTGATTAAAATCACTTTTTCACCGCAATCTGACTGGCTAATTTGCCGTTGTCGTTAAGCCGGTTCGGACATCGCTGCCCGCGTCAACGTGTAACGCATTGATATAATCATTTTATATGACGTCGACATTGTGGTAAAAGACAAAAAATTCGATAGTGGTTTAGGGTGGTCTGTACTCTTATTGGCGAGGATATTCGTCATCACAGTGGTCAAAATGTTGTGGACTCACGAAGCGCAACCACTGTCGATTTGTCGATTCTATAATTCTGAGATGAAAACTAATAGAAAGAAGTACTACTGTTTATATAAAAAAAAAAACAGCCTAATAAACTTTCGTCCACACCTAGTATAGACGTTTTGCTTTGCTGCAAAAAACTGGTGTCAACAAATTTTTCTGTAAAATAATGAAATGCTTAAGTGCGCGATTTAACAATTCGACAGTGGTTTAGTGTGGTGTGTTCTCTTATCGACAATATTCGTCATCGTTGTGGACTCACGAGACGCAGCCGACAACGGCAAATTGACCGATCAGATCGTGACATTACTGCCAATGTGCTAAAAGCCCTATTTCTCATATCCAAAGCACGCATATGGACATTTCTGTAAATATTTGTCACAAGATGTCGTATCCAAGTCTTAAATAAAGTTGTTTTAATCAATTGAATCGTGGAGTGGTTTTCACTGACTATGAAATTATTTTCCTCCAATACTGTTAAGTGTACTAGATAATAATATTTCGTATAGATTACATATTAGCCAACATATACTGAATTGGGAGAGAGGCATCTCTCAGATTGTAATTTTTGTCAAATTTTCTTTACTTCATACTTTAAAAAAACTCTGTTTTGAACATAAACAGAAGGAAGTTAAGTTTGTATCTTTTTCCGTGGTTTCTATACACAGCCTCTCTATATTCAAGAAGGCTTCACAAGTATTTTGCATTTTTGGTCCAATTCTCTATAATTTTCCTATCTTCCCTCAAATATATTTAACAAATGGTAAACACCCCAGCGCACACTATTGAGTTATGGATGCACGCGGGAGGTTGCTAAGCACGAAAGAAGCGTAAGTGTCGCTCGAGGCGATAGCCGAGAGCGACTCTAGCTTCTTGAGTGCTTAGCAAACCTCCCAAGTGCATCCATAACTCAATAGTGTACGCTGTGGTGTTTACCATTTGTTTTATAACATAACATTGATACATTGTAGCTAAAGAGTTCCCTTTTATTTAACAAATCTTACGNCATTGAACAAAGACTGAATGCATCATTAATGTGTGGTTCTCTTGCCACATTTTAACTTCTATCGTCAGATGTTCCAAATGTCTATGACATGGAAGATGAAGAGTTGTTCGACCACAAACTGCATTTTAAGTCTTAAAGTTGACAGGAAAGCGAAGTTCTGCCTTCCACGTGTAAAGATCCTGACGCAACTGAAATGAATACTTAATGATCCCAAGTACATTTGCAATTCAATTCTAACTTTCCGCGTGCCTCACAATCAGTATTGAAAATGACACCGTGAGGAGTGGGGTAGATTGTTTGATTTCTGGTGGTGATATTTTTGTCCCAGAGGTCTTACAGATTCCTGAACTCAAATTAAAAAGATTCCTAATGTACCTACCACCAGTTCAATTATAAATATAGATCGTCTGTCTCACGGTGTTCGTCCTTTTTCTCGTGAAATAGCTAATGGAGCATTAAAACATTCGAAGATGACAACCACTAAAACGATTTTAGAGATAAAGTTATAATAGTAATAAAAATAACAATAATAATAATAATGGAGACGAAGATAATGATAATGATAAAAAAAAAATGATAACCAATAAAAAAGTTATAATGGTATAGGATAAAAATCGGTGAAGAGAACTAAACCTGCTCTTTCAAAGAAGGAAAGATTTGCTTTATTTTCTGAGTTCTTGTTAAGACAGAGAGTGACAGAGAACCGTTGAAATGTTAACCGGAAGAGTTCCCTTCACTGTGCTCCTGTTCTGATGTCAATAAACTGAGAAATCAGAATCAAAGGTAGCGCATTCAAAGTAACAAATAAACACGCACAACAAAACGCGCGCAAGACCCCACACAACAAATTAAATACAGAACCTGTGCGAGAGATACCAAACGTAATGAATAAAGGACAACATACACTTCGCACGCGATATGTATAGGTAATAACGTGGTTTCGAGTGCAATTTGGTGTTAATAAGCGGGAGTAATTAAAGTTTTCAAAGACAACAAAACTACACAAGCCCGTAGGGCGAGTGCAATTTGTAGTCTTTGAAAAATTTACAAGTGATTATTTACACCAAATTACACGTAAAAACGTATCGCGCGCGAGGGCAAGCACAATTAGAACACAGAACAAACAGTGCGCGAGATACTACACGTAAAAATTAGAACACAGAAAAAACAGTGCGCGAGATACTATACTACTTAAATAATGAATAGAATACGAAAGAAGCAGTACGAGAGATTCTACAACTGACAATTAGAACATAGCTCACAGCCGTTGTGGAACCGTCGTACAGTGACGGAACTTGACAACTAAAGCGTAAGAGACAATTTCTGGGGCAGTTCATGCTGCATTTTAATTTTTAAAAAAAGGAGGGTAGGGCGCATGTACTTCTCTTCCCCCCTTCCCCCTCCACCCCAGCCCTCTTTTTCTGACGCGTCCTTGAAAGGTGTACATTTGGGAAAGTTAAATTTTTAGGAGAACCTGACGCAAGATTGAATATTAGATAATAAACTCTCACAGAAGTTTCAATGCTCCATCTTTATTCTTTATAAACTAAAACTAATGTGTCTACATTTCAAGAAATCTAACAATAGATATCCATTTTCCATGATTTCGGAAAGCCATTTCACATCTGGTTTGAATAATGACGCTCTGACATCTGCAAGAAACATAGGTGAAATGAAGAAAAAAAATGCTCAGAGATTCCTATTTACTGAAATCTTTCCTGACTTGCAGGCTTTTAAGAGCCATAACTAGAAATAAATTTATGTTTGCATGGTGAAATTGGATTAAAAAAAGTTCAAAGAATGCAATTAAGCTCAAAACTCACAGAAGTTTTTCAATTTCGTGGCGAACGTAATCTGAGAAACTCGCACTGCACTCTAAACCAATCAAATGCAAGATTGTAACCACTCACAAGCTGTTCACCCACTGGCATGCGCTCCTTGTGATATATCCCTGATTCTGATTGGCCAGCTCGTTGCAGTTACTTAGCTTTTGGTGTCGCGACAATTTATTGAAGAGCGCCCTGTCCGATATTTGGTATTGAAAAAAAGTACGTGGTTGATACCTTATTCTTGCAGGTGATAAACAAAGATATCAGCTTCAATCTCCGATCCAACTCCGTTCCCAGTTTTCTTTGAGATTTTACATCCCTTTGATTGGCCGTTGTCGTCATATACTGAAGCTGCATTGTCACCAGACCAACATCCCTTATGGTCGACACCCAAGGTTTTGTAGCCAAACTCCATGGCCTTCTTCTGGCAATACTCATCAATGGCGTCAGTACCAGACACACTCTCGATATTTTTGTCAAAAGCTTGGGGCAAAATTGCAGGAGCACTGTTAACATAGCAGTCCACCGCTTTAAATTCACCTGTTATGAAAAGAAACCTGTTTAATAGCGTTCTTTTATTAAAATAGAAGGTTATAGACGTCAGGAGATTTTACATGCAAGCGTCCCTACGAGCGATGAGGGCGTGCTCGAGCGATGAGGGCGTGCTCGAGCGATATAGTCGCATCTGTTCACTTCAAAGAAAACTTATAATATTCAGTGACATAACTAGTGTGAAATCATCACCAACTGAAGGTGAATTAAAATTCTCATTATCACTTAGTTATGGTTGGAAATTTCACTGTGAAGTGATTTCGTGAGTCATAGGTCCACTGCAAGTTGACTTCCAGGTAAACACGCGTGAGGTTGAATAATGTACAAGTGTTAAAAAAAGAACTGAATACTTCGCACCAGTGATCTATTGGAGAAAAAACATACGGCTGAAGTCAGAGGAAATTGGTTGAGCCTTGTTGGTAAACCATGGTGTGCAGTTTTGAAAAATGTTTTTCACAAACATAAAAGATCGTGTGAGTGAAATCCCCCAGCCAAAAACAAAGTAAAAAGAAGAAAAGAAAAGGAGAAGAAAAAAGTTCTGCACGAAAAAACTGTCATTCGTCCGTCCTGTGTGCAGGAAAGCACGGATATCTTATTACCAAGTGTTGGCTTAGTATAAAATCGTAGACATCACTTTTAAAAACCTGAACAGATACACGGCAAATCGGGATCCACTTTTTGTATGACACTCCCGATACCTATACATACCCACAATGTCTAGTTAACTAGTCGAACAGATTCGATATCATCCCGTTACCTTTGCCATCCATACGGTATACGAACACAGTGAGTGACTCTGTAAAGCCAGTGCCAAACTGTTTCTTTTTCTTGCACAATCCCGATTTTCCAAACTTATTGAAGGATTTCTCTGGGTCATCACTTGTCCAGCATCGCTTGTCATCCATGCCAAACAATTTGATTCCTTTAGCCTCGGCCTCTTTTGCGCATGCGCTGAATCTCTTGCTAATCTGAGAGATGCTTCCTGCTCTTAGGAAATACTTATCGAGTGCTTTAGCTTTCATTATATAGCAGCCTAATGGCTTCCAAGCAGCTGTTGATTAAAAAAAAATTACTCAAATTATATTTTAGTGGAGCTCCTGAGTTGTCACAAAATTTGCGATATAAGAGTTTACTTACGTCCACAAGGATTCGTGTTGCATTCCTGAGTTTCCTTATTCGGTCCGAGAACACTACACTTTTTCCCTCCCTTTGACGGCTTCGGTTTGTTACATTTTCGCTTTCTCGTTTGTTTTCCTCCGCCACAAGTCTCGCTACATTTGCCCCACTTGCCCCATTTCCCGTAACCACCGTCAACTGCGCATAAAAAAATACCTGAATTATTGCACTTGTCCAGAAAATATTTCCGGCGAAAATATCATTTTGTCATGGAGTTATGTCCAGGAAAACTTGCCTGAAGTAGAGCGACCCTTTACAAATTCCCTTGTAACTGTCCTATTCAAGTCACTTACATCAGTTCACTTCTTCCTGGATAAAGGGGGTAAGTTTCTAAAGACACTGTGGTGCATGCGCAGTGTCGGTTTGAAGTATAGCAAGATAATTCGGTTCTACCAACTGACTAATCGGCCACCATAGAGATTTTTAAAGCTGGCGTTTCGAGTGTTAGCCCTTCATCGGAGAAAATATAGGTGTGTGTTTTTATACAGAAAATGGAGTTACACTATGGGTTGGAACATGTAAAAAATGGTAACGACAAAAAGAAGAACAAAGTAGTTGAATGAAAAGCGTTCGTTAATACCGTGGGGATTAGGAGTGCTGGTTTGAAAAATAAAATTCTAGGAAAGAGTTTTGCACTTTGCAAACTTCCCAGATGTAGGGAAAGGCTGATCGAAGACTACCATGTGCTGCGTAGAATGATCAGGGACTGGTTTGGATGCGTTTGGACGCATTTGGTTTGGACCTATCCAACCCAGTAGCTTGACGCTTTCATCTCCCTAATCGTTGATTACACTTACCAGGACATTTGGAGGCTTTCGGTTTGCATTCCTCCGTCTCTGTGTCCTTTCCAAGTCTAGAGCAGTCTTTACCGCCATGCGCAGGCTTTGGACTGTCGCATAGCCTGTCACGTCTTCTTGTGCCCTTTTTGCTTCCGCAAGTAACTGAACACTCGCTCCATTTTCCCCACTGGCCGTATCCACCATCAACTGCAAAACAGATGCGGTGATTTGTTTAATCATGCTTAATAGAGCGCTTTTCATTGAGTTTTATTCAACAAAAACCAAGGCAATCACAACAATCAATTATAAGAAGGGAAATGTCACCAGGAGCCAATGAGAAATCGAAGTAAAATATGCAAACTGTCTAAAGGGCGGGAAAACGCGTGCGACCAATCACGATTAGATTTAGTTTTTTAATCTGATTGGTTGAGAAAGTGGCGCGCGTTTTCTGAACTAATCAGATAACGAAGTAAGCAAAATCAAAGCAATCCCGAATTAGTTTCGACACTCAATTTCACTGAGTTGCTCTGTTCCACGATATAACCATGTTAGACCAAAGAAATTTATATTTAGTTCTTAGTAATCGAGCGGGAGGTCTGTATGGGAGACTCTTGACCGAGGTCGCCAGTACAGACCGAACGCAGTGAGGTCTGTGCCAGCGACCGAAGTCAAGATTCTCCCATACAGACCGACCTAGCTCGGTTAATAAGATGTTTATTATATGACTGTCTTATATGACAATTTTTTTATTCTTTGTACCTTTTTTTTCTAGACCGGTCTAGATGCCGGTCAAGATGGGAAAATCGAGACCACTTACAGTGTTGATTTCAGCCAATCAAATTCGTGAATTCGGTAGTTCCCAGTCCTTGTGAGACACAGCCATATAATAAATCAACATATTAATCGCATTTGCTGTAATATACAAGGCAAGAAGAGAGACTAGCTACGGTTTATAACATATCTATCTGAGAAACCTGATCCTATTCAAGGGTTAAGGGCACCATTTTGATCCAATGCGTTTCATTCCAAGTCGCCATCTTCTCCACAGTAAAAGACAAAGAAAACGATGATGATAAAGATAGTGATAGCAACGAGAACAAAGGAGAATACGTACGAGGGCATGGAGCAGTACCACATTCCTCAGTCTCGCTCGACGGTCCAAGACCTGAACAGTCTCTTCCCCCATTCTGTGGCACAGGGTTGGTGCATTGTCGGTGGCGGTTGCGCCTTCCTCCACCGCATGTCAAGGAGCAATCTGACCACCGCTCCCAATCCGTGTAACCTCCGTCAACTGTAGAATAACAATAATTATTAAAAACTAGATCATTGGATAATGCAATTCAAGACTTTTTATTGGCTTAGCCATTATGGTATATCAGCCAATATACCATAATCTACAAATATGGTAAGCGTACGCGTCAGCTTAAAATTAGAAGGGAGCTAAAATTTTAGTAAAATTTAATAAAATTTAATAATTTAATTTAACTTTTTTTAATAAAACAATTATTCCACTCGCGCTTATTGGATATGTGATGATTATAGCCAACTCGGCACTACGCGCCTCGTTGGCTATCTATCATCTCATATCCAACGCGCGCTCGTGGAATAATTGTTAATAAGATAA